AACATAGTTGAACTGCATTACATACTGTTTTAAAGAGAGGTAATGTCAAACACTTTTGCTGTGCGCTGTCAATGTTAAAGGGCATTTACATAAGGCATCAGTTATATATTAAGCATATTTCATTCAAGAGACGGAACATTATTTTTTGCAGGATTATATCGGGGAAATATAATACCTGCAGCAGATTAGGAGGCACTGAATTAAAAACCCTGAGAGGTTTCGTTCTTAAAGGAAGCAAGACATTGATTGAGCAACGGTGCTAAATTACCAATTTCTGCTGAACCAAGCTAATGCATCAATTGGGGCAGAAGAAACATTTGTGACCAGCCCGGATTGCCACCAGTGGACACTGGCACACCGGACAGGACGTTGTAGCCACAGATCTCCCACGAGGTTCCCGACAGATAAGCCCTACCACAATGTAAGGACTCAGTCTGGAAAATGACATCATTGTTGTGAGCTCGAGTCAGGTGGGTCAGTTAGATGCCCAAGCAAATGCAATTCTGCACTGATAAATAATAAACTACAAGGTAACAGCCTGAGGAACAGCCCTTTTCATAAGTAAGTTGAAAATTTTTAAGTAGAATGTTAACTATAAAATGTTAAAAAGCAGGAATATTAGTTTCTGCTAAGCGAAGTTCTAACAACTTTTTTTTTTTATTGTGAAAAGTAAAACCTAATGTAATTACAGGGATAACATTTGAATATTATGCAAGTGCATGCTCAGGCCTTTTGGAAAGAACAAGGTCTCACATGTTCTTCTATTTTAAATGCCTGCTGCACCTCCCGAAATCTCTGGGGAATGTGCTTAGCAAAAGGTGAGCTCAACGTTTCCAAAATAACACACTCCGCACGACTGTACTCGAAAATTAAAGCGGGGCCGATGTTCAGCACACCATGCACGTTCGCGGGTGGCTGCTCGGGAGCGCGGGTCGCTCTGCGACGTGACATTCCCCTCCGCTGCAAATCGTCGGCGAGACGATCCCATGGTTTGACTTAAGTGGTGGAACGCTGAAGATGCTTTATTGGGCCTTAAAACCAAGGGGGAAAGCTCGGCTGATAAAAAAGCCTGCAGCCCGGGGTCAAGAAACGGGCGGTAACGTGCGCGAAGCAGCAGCTACCTGCTTGCTTGTTGCCTTGTATTTTTTCCCCCCTCCTTTTTCAACCCCACGCCAGCCTGCCTACGAGAGGTCATCTGCAATCCGTTTGCGATCCTCCGCTACGCAGGCTAACCACATCCTGGCATTAAAATGTTATTTTATAAACAGGCAGCGCGCACAGACTCGCTGCCACCACTGCGGCCAGTCCGCTCGGGTTATGTCGGGGGGGGGGGGGGGGGGGTCCCCTCATTTTCCTTCCCCCGCGCACCGCCGGGGCGGAGGAGGAGGAGGAGGAGGAGGAGGAGGAGGAGGAGAAGGCGGGCTGGAAAACCCCGCGGCGCCGGCTGCCAGCCGCCATCGGGGGCGGGGAGCGGCGGGAAGGGCCGGCGGCCACGGGCAGACTGCGGCCCTGGCTGCCGGCCCGCCTTTGGCCGCCGGCCCGCCGGGCCCCGGGCGGCTGTACCCCCGCGGCGGGACGGGGAACGGGGGCGGGCGGCGCTTCCCTCCCCGCTTCCCTCCGCCCTCCTCCTCCTCCTCCTCCTCCTCCTCCTCCTCCTCCTCCTCCTCCTCCTCCTCCTCCTCCTCCTCCTCCTCCTCCTCCCCGCCGCCGCGGCTTCCCTCCCGCTGCCCGGCAGGGGCGGCCCCGCTCACGTTCCCCTCAGGGCGGCCCTCAGCGTTTTCCTCAGGGAAAAAAAAAAAACGTTTAGAAAAAAAAAAAAAAAAAAAAAATCTCCTCACGTACCCCACGGGCCTGAGCCGGATGGAAATGACTCACCTCACGTCCTTGCGCTTTTTACGGAAATACTGTGAATTTTGTACCTGGAGGGCATGGCGGATGCCTTGGGCCCACCGCTGGGTTGGGAGCCCTGAGGAAGCGGCGTTAGCGTGGACGCCGCCGCCGCCTTCACGCCTCGCGCCTGGCAAGGACGGTGCTCGCCGAGGGTCGCTCTCCTCTCCCATCGCGGTGCCTTGGTGGGCTCTCGTCCCCACCGAGCTGGCCCTGGGGGCCTTACTTATTTTTTCCCCACCTGTGTACAACAGCTGCATTGGCGCACCAAACGAGCCCTTAAAGGCCGCGTCTGTGGTTGCAAAATCCAGGACTGAAAGGAGGTGCCTGCGCAAAATGTGTTAGGCTCCTCTTCAGGCTTGAGTTTGAAGCCTTACTGGATAACCACCTCCCGCTTTTCCCACCCGTCTCATCGGGTGAGCGGAGCAGATGGGATTCGCTTAATGAGCAAGTCCTCCGTGCTCTGCTTTACCTTCGTTATTCAGTGTGTGGCCCGAGGCCATGAAAGCCCCCGGGTGCCTCCAACCCAGCTCCGGAGCACAGCCAGCCACGTTCTCCCGGCCTTTCGCTTGCAATTCGGCCGCTCCGGGAGCGGACGGCAGGCGGTGATGGAGAGGATGGGCAATGCTGCTATGGCGTCGTCCCGCAGGGGCAGGACAGCTTTGGTGGGCGCTTCTGGATGGCGAAGGAGCGGTGGGAGTCGGGAGCCTTGGGACCTGGTCCAAGCTCTGAAAGCGAAGCGCCAGACATTGGGCTTGGGGACATCGGGAGCCTGTCCTTCAGACCGTTCCTCTGCCTTCCCTGCTCATGGCTGCTTGTGCTAACATTCTTGCCTGGCCGCTCCCAATCTCCTTTTCAGCCCTGCCACTGTCTACTGGTTTCTGTCAGATGAGTTTGTGGAAAAATGAACAGCAGTTTCTTGGACACAAAGTGCAGCTTTTCTTCTCCCGGCTCTCAAACGGGACAGCTTCCACCCCCAAAGGTCACTGAGAACACGAGGAGGTTAAACATCCAATCTTCAGTCTGGCTGCCGGGACCGAGCCCAGACCACAGCAACTCACAGCTGCGCTTGCGGAGGAGCTCTCGCTGCACCCCACGTAGATGAAATCTTCAGGATATTTAGCAGGGAGCACCTAGCAAACCTTCACTGAGATACTGCGCAGGCTGCAGCTTCTCAGAAGCTTATCAGTTGCCCACATGTCGATTGCTTCATCATGAAGATGGCAAAGATCACCCTTCCCTCTGCTGTCAGATTTTGGGCTGCAGCCCCAAGGCATGGTGACATTAGGCCTTTTCACAAAAAAGACATTTTTAGAATTATTTTAGCATGGATAAAAGATCCACCACACACACACACACACACACCCATTTTCTTGGTTGAAAGTGAAGCTTTTCAAAGTTGTAATCAACTTAAACCAGGGTTTTTATGGTGGAAAGTGTTGGACAACATTTGTGATATGTGTACCGGTCCTGCCTGGAGTATTCATGGCAGTAATAAGAGCAGGGCGGCATACTAAAGATGTGCGTGGGTTATTGAGATAAATGTCTGGAAGGAAAGTTCAGTTGCGGTGCTTTCTGTGACCTGAGAAATCTAAATGACGGGCACCATCCAAGAAACAACACGGGTAGCGTGACAGCGAGCAGCGAGTTCAGAGTCCACCGCTTCTGCTCGGGAGGCAACGCTGACGTGACCTCTGCCTGTGTCTGTGTGCTCGCCAAGCAACTCTGGGCTGGGACCAGGCCAATTTTACAAAGCAGACCAAGCTGTGGAGTTGCATTTTGATAAAAACGGTAGCTAAAAGAGGAGTGAGAGATGCAGCTGTCCCAGCTGGGAAGGAAGTAGCAACGTTACTCTCTCCGGGCATGAGAGTATTCGCGTGCGGGAGGAAGGGAAAGGCAGATGGAGGCAGAGTGACACAAGCGCTCAGCTTTGTGAAATTTGCAGCCAGTCCTCGTGGCTTTGCAGGAACCAAACTCACGCGAGTAGCAGTCTCCTAGGTTTGCGAGAAACGAGGTTTCCTTAGTCCCACAGCTCACTCACTTCCTTGTCAGGAAAGAGAAAAAAAGTGTTTAATAAGAAACACGGAGCATTTGTTGAAAGCTGAATTCCACTGAATGTTGTCTTAGAGTAACCCCACTGAAGTGAAAACTGGGTTAATCAATCTTGGGTCTAACCACTGAATTACAACAGCGAAATATGTGGAGTTGAACCTGTGTAAGAGCCAAACTGTGTAGAATTTTAGAGACAGTATTAACTTAAATTTCTGAGCCTAAAGGTTACCAGAGGCGTAGGAGTAAGAGAAAATACTGAGAGAGGCCTTTGCGGGGCTGCGCAGTTGCAGGGTGCGGAGGCTGCCGTGAAGCAGCGGCCGCCGGCACGTACGGCTGTGCTAACCGGTGAGAGGTGCCCGTGCTGACGGCAGCTTTTATTGGCGAGGGCTGTGTGTTTGCTGAAGGTCTCTCTCGCAAAGCCATGGCAACAGCAGCCGTGCGCCGTGTCTCCCTGGGAGATGAGGCGCCCGCAGAGGCCTGCGGAGCATCGCGGGAAGGGATGGATGCCTTCGGGCTGCTGCCTGCCACGTCTCATCCTCGGTGTGCCGGGGGAAACGGTTCGTACCGAGATACCACCCTAAATTAAACCTTGGATTTAGTATTCCCAGTATTCTGCTGAAGCTCCTACTTAAAGATAACGTGGATGTGCATCTGCGTTTCTGTCAATGATTTATGTGGTTGGGTTGGCTGGCAGCTGCTGCTGTGCAGTGACTCCCCACACCTGGGCAGGAACCTGAGAGAAGCTGCTACAGATCAGCCCTGGGTTGACCTGGAGGCCCGTCAAGCAGGTCTGCAGGTATATTAGAGTCAGAGTGTGATGGAGGAGATAAATCTTTATGCAACCATATGTTTTCATATAGCAGAATACAGCCCCTCTTCTCTGCGTCCAGCTGTGATGAATGTTCTTGTTTGGGTAAAGCTGTGCCCTTCAAAAGTCTGTCTTGTAGCGACTATCGCAGGTTTGATTAAAAATCACATGCCCTTTCTTATGAGCATGGCTCGCATAACAAAATAAATCTGACAGACAATTGGCTTGCTAATAAGTGCAATTAAGCAGTATGGGGGCTTAATTTTATCAGCATTTATTGGTAAAACTACAGAATATTCTGTGAAGCTTGTTTCATGGTAATGAAATGATTGATGGTTTTGTAGAGGAATGCCATGGAAATCCTTCTTTTGTTTCCTGGCTCAGAAGACATATGTCATTTTCCAGTGTGAAGGAATTAATTTGGCTCTCTTTGTTACTTACAATTACTTACTTTATGAACCCTTCACCCCAGGGACCTCTGTGCGGTGGTCCCACTTGAAGAACCTCACCAGTGGGTCAGATGAAGTAAACATCAAAGCTGGTCAAAATACCGCTGTTCATTAACAATGCAGTGAGAAATCAGTCACGGTCAAAGGAAGATTATCCATCTTGCTTGACCTACGGAGTCTGAAAATGCGCTAGCCCCATGCTTGCATTGTCCGCAGCGCTGTGGGGAAGTTGTAGGAGGTGTCATGATTCCATGGAGATGTTTTCTTTGATTTCTGCGTGGCTGGTGCACCGCTCATCAGGAATAGGGGATCGAGACTTGACCTGAGCCTTGTCCGGCCATCTTCAGAGCATTACGTGTTGATGAACTTCTACAGGGACTCTAGCAAGCTATTTTTTTAGGGCATGATTCCCATTAAAATGAAATATTTGCTGGAAATACAGTACCTGTATATTAATTCGGAGATCATTTTGAAGAGACAGGTAACCTGTAAGGCGTTGTGCTGTCATTTCTGCACAGAAATTGAGAAACGGGAGTAATTGGAGAAATAAAGCATAGACCACCCCTCTGGTAAAACATTCTGTGAAGTTGTGAACTGGTGGAATAGAAACCCGGACAAGGGCGACAAGCAAGAAAGAAGGATGGTTTGCAGGTCATGGATTCATCAGAGGGCACAGCACAGAGACAGCCCTTAGCACAAAACTGCTGCTGAAATGATCAGATCAATATTGACCTAGGTGGGAAGAAGGAAAGGAGAGTGAAACAACCTTCCCGTGAAAGCCAAGCACGAACACCAGGAGAGGGGAGCAGGCAGCCGGGCGGGTTGTTTTTCCGAAAAAGAACGCTTCATCTGGTGAGAATCGTAGAAGGTTGGAAAATCAAAGAGTCAAGGCCTGGAAGGGCTTTGGTAAATATTAATAAATAAAGACATGCATGCTTTTAAAGACTAAAGGAAAGGCTGTCAGCAGGGTCCTGAAGGAAGCCAGTAAGAGCCTTTGTAGCGATCTAAATGGCTTGAGGTCAGGCCTTCAGCGAGCGCTTTGCAAATGTCTCCCAGCTGCGGCGGGAGCCGGGATCCCTGCGGAGGGCTCAGCCCGCTGCTCTGACGAGAGGGCAGCGGCAGCCCCGGGCACCCGACGCTGAGGACGCTCCGCCCGCCGGACGCCGTGAGATGCTGCGGCGCGAATCTTCCCGCAAGGGACAGCGTGGGAGCGAGAAGAGGCACGAGGGAGGCCGGCGAGCTCGCGAACGGCTGCGAGGGGACCCGGGGTGGAGGGGCCCGTCCGCAAGCGCCGGCACAAGCAGCTCCGTCAGCCCACCTCGATAAATGATGGGTTTTGTCAGTTCCGTTTTTGAACTTTGCCCTTTCTCCGTAATTCGGCGTTTGCGTGATCGCTCTTCTTGCTTGTCTTCACCTCAGCATTTATCTAGCAGCAGGTGACGATTATCTCGGGGCAGCTCTCTGTGCCTTTGACATCCCTTAATTAAACTACGACATTTGCTAAGTATGGAAAAGAAAAATACTGGAGGAAAAAAAAAAAAAAAACTCATTGCATTCTCATTAGACCACTGTATTCGTGAGACTTTGGGTGCCACGTAGGAGAGCGGTACAAAGGATATTTTTAATGAGCTTCAGTAAAGGTGCCCTTGATTTTAGTTTGTCCCTAATTGTATGAGCTTTGATCTTGATTTCTTCAAGAGATATTTTACCGTGCACTTAGGTACCGCTGACAGACCTGAACAGTTTCTCTTTGTCCAGTTTCTGAGAGAGGAAAAAAATTTCCACTGGAAAATGGTTCCAGGGAAAGTTTCAGTGAGCAGCATCTTCGGGATCTGTCCTGCTAATTGTCTACAAGTTGGCTCTGGATAAGGAGTAAAGCCATGCTCAGGTGATACATAACACATGCACTGGGACAGATCAAGTCAAATGCTAAATCTCGCTATTAGCCATCATGTGCAGGGGTGAGGAAAGCTTTCAAAATATATGAAAGCAGCTGAGGAATATTGCAGTGCCATGTAGCTGCATAAACCCAGCTAATGGCTTGAGACTTCTTGGCCTATTCCCTCTTCTTCAGATTATGTCTCCGGTAAGAAATACCCTTCCTCGTGGCATTTGTGCTTTTATCACTTCAGAGTGCCTCGGTTCAGAATTGGCGCCGGGCCTGCCCTAAAAGACCACTGAAACCTATTTTTCTAATATGAATCATTTTGTGTTTTTCTTATTAGTAAAGCAATCAAACAAGATGCAAACTCAAGGTACTTTTAAGGCTGCTTTTAAATTAATCTTGACACTTTGCTGCTGACAAATCCAGAAGCAGGGCCCTCTGAAATCATTGCAAGGGTATAGCATGGCTGTAGTAAATAGTTCTTACTCAGAGAGACCAAGTCTAGAGATTTGTCCTTTTCTAACTGTGGCTTTACAGCTAAGGTTGCCAGTAATGAAGCTTACTAGAACTAGACTAAGCTCACCGAGTGAAGAGCCTTCACTTCAGAGGGAGCTCAGGCACTTCCTCATAGGCTGCCTTAAATTAATACTTCTTCATCCACCAGAGCGTTAGATTTGAGTTTAGGGGTAGCTGGCATCAAGACAATCCCGGAGAAAAATCTATAGTATGAGAAGAGCCATACTTAGGCTGTGAACCTTCCTCTCCCTAGCGAGAGCACAGGATAAAACCTGCTGAGATGTCCTTGGTACCCTGCCATGAGCTCCCTTCTCCAGTGCCTTTTCATCTTCCCTTCCATGAATATTAACAACAGTTCTTTCACTCCGAAAAACTGCAGTGCTAAAATACATCCAGATATGCCTCCTCAAGTCTTAGCGGCGCTCACTCAGCCTCGCCGAGTTCAGTTTTGCGACGAGGCTGCTCAGTCAGACCCAGACGGTTCCGTTGCGCAACGAAGACATGCCTTCGCTTAGCCCATCGACATATAGGACACTTGAGCAATCAAACACGCCGGTGACTTCTTGCCATTATTGAACTAGGTTGAATTTAATCAACAGCTGTGGAGAGTACACCATTTACAGAGCTGCTCCCGTCAGTGTCGGGTGTTTGGAGGTCACGGGCAGGAGGGAATGCCAGCCTGGGCTCCAGGTCTTCCCTGGTGAGAGGTTTACAAAAGGCAGGGGAAAAAAAAAAAAAATTAATCCTGAAGCTTCAGATATTCCCTCGGATAAAGTTCCAGCATAGTGAAAGTTACTTGCAATTCTGCCATTCCGCATGTGTCTGTAGTTCATTAATCGTGACTCAGTGGAAAACCTAATTTTTATGGGTGTGAGTGAGTGCTGTTAAGGGGCAGGTCTGCTGCTGAGGGTAACATCCTGCTAGCAAGGTACAGATCTAACCTATAGAGATGTTGTGAAAGCAATATAGCAATTTTGTTCCTTTGTCTTCTGGATGTTTATTTGCTCTTTTTTTTTTTTTTTTTTTTTTTTTTTTTTTTGCACGTTAGCTATCTGCAGATTACTCCGATTAAATTACTCAGGGAATAAATCACTGCCCCATGAAAAGTACCTAATCAAACAGATAAGTCTTGCATTTCACCCTCGTCTCTCTCACTCCCACACATGACTTTGCATGTGAATCTTTAAGACCTGTATGCCCTATATTTTTTCACTCTAATGCTGCAATTAATCACATTACATAACCAGCCTACTGCTGTTTCTAATTAAATTTTTCGGGGGGGGGGGGGATGGGGGGGGTGGGAGAAGGAAGAAAGAACCCTGCATTTAAACACCGTGAAGGGTCTGTCTTGAAATGACAATGCCAGGAAGCGGCGAGGGAAGGCTCCCTCCATCCTCCTCGCACCCCCGTGCGCCGGGAGCTGCGGCGCAGGCCCCGTCTTATGCAACATCCCACGCCGGGGTCTGACTCACGCGCACTTACCTCACCGGGGACAGGCTAAAAATAGGCTTTCATTCTTAACTCTGCACAGCCGGGCTCTGCCTCGCTTCCAAGAAGACCCTTGATGGGATTAAAATAGAGCAAGTTCTGCGCTTTGTTTCCTGCTGGAGATGTCTGCACTGCGCCCGTGCGCTGTTTGTTTATCTGGCGTTTTAGGGCAGCCGAGAGCAGGCTGGATGCCGTCGGAGGCACAGAAAATACGGCGTTTTGCTCGCATCGTGTGCCAGCTGGTTCCAGACAGGGTGCCACGAGGAGGGGTTGGGCAGCGGGGAGGCTGGACATCGGGAAGCGCCGTGGTAGCTGCTGCGTTACAGCAGTTCCCACAGCTTTGGGAAGGGAGGCTGGGCGGGAAGGAGGTGAAATCAGCCCTGGTCCGGGTGGGAGGAGGTTGCTGGTCCCGGAGTAGGGATGCACCAGTGACTGTGGGAACGAGCATCTCTCAAAAGTCCCTCTGCAGCCGCAGCTTAGACCCGGGTGCTGCCCCGTGAGCCCCGCGTGTCCCTCTCCTCGCTCAGGCCCTTTCCCCCCCATCACCACCAGCGTGGGACTGGGCTGGCACAGCTCATCTTCCCCCAGCCCGGGCAGCGATGGCGTGGCCTTTCAAGACACACACATGCGTCTTCTCACCTTTGCTTTAGCATCACTGCCCCTGCTTTGGGAGGCTCGTGGCGTGTCCTGAGCTCCCACACCTGACAGCGGGTGATTAGCCAAGAAGCTCCGCTTTCGGTCCGAAACAAAGAGACTTTCTAGCTGTTGTGGTGGCTGTGGGAGGGTTGAAAGTGCAGACTAACATCTCGAAAGTCAGAGAGCAAGTAAACTTCCAGATGAATTAGAAAACTTTAAAAAAATCTAGCAATTGATACGTCACTAATAAATTTTCTGGCTGGCCTGAAGAACAAGTTCTGGAGCTTCGAGTCGGTGTAATTGGTACCGGGCTGCTTCCCCTCTGCTTTCTCAGCATGCGAACCTGTGGCCGAGAGTCATTTAGAGGGTCTGGAGACCTTTTTCCCTACAGATTCCAACTTAAGCAATTTGAGAGTGAAAAAGTGAAATATAAAACTGTGTTCATTTTGCTTCCGTCTGCCTTTTTGAAAACATCTGTTTCTAGGCTGACTTACTTTACCTGGGATTTCAGTTTAGACCCACCTTTCAAATGGCAGTTGGGATAGACAAAGAGAACTGGAGGCTCTCTTGCAGAAGCGTTAACCCCGGGTGTTTGCTGTCCCTGTTTAGCCTAGTTGGACACACTCTTTGTAGGTTTACTGTAACAACAGAGTTTCTTAAACATAAATCCCGCACTTAAGGGAGTCCGTGACCGTTCATTGATTCCCGAGCTAACTTCACAGCGTATTTGTAAGGAATTTTAATCAGATTGTAATGACCGTACCTACTTTCTAAAACCCATGTAAAGACTTGTCATCTTTAACTTTCTGCTACCGCAGGCACAGACTCTAGCGGGGCAAGGTACTTGTGGCCCAGTTATTTTGCCTCGGGCGTTGGATCCTTGTGGCAGCCGTAAGCTCAGCCCTCATCCTGCAGCTGTGGGGGGACTTGGAGCATCAGCGTCATTTCCTTTATTTTCTGCATCCCAAGAGCAGGAGGGCTGCCCTTCCTGGCCTGAGGAGATGCACGGTGTGAAGTTGGCATGGTCAGAATCGACAAGACGCACACCACCGGGAGCGAAGGGCGCTTTTGGGAACGGCTCAGTGGCAGGGGACGCCGGCAGCGCCTCGTACACCCCCTCACTTCGTTGCAAGGTGAATCTGAGCTTCTGCTTTGAAGAACAAGAGTTCTGTGGGATTTTTGTGAACTGAGGTGGCAGGAGGCTTTGATGCCATGTGGATGTCTGAGGTGTTTCCCTGGTTGCTGCTAAATTGAAATCACCTGTTTGATGTGATTGAGAAAGAATGCAAATGGCCTTGCAGGAAACCCCAGGGAAGAGGAAGGAGACACTGGGTAACTGAGAAAGAAAAGATGATAGCAAGAAGGAGGAAGGAATGAGAGAGAACTATTTAAGGAAGCAGGCACCGTAAGGAAAATAATTAAAAAAAAAAAAAAAAAAAAAAAGTGGGACCAGGATAAGAGACAGCAACAAAGAAAAAAGCAAAAAGTTTAAACATTCAGGGAGCAAAGCTCATAGACAAGAGGACAGAGCGAAGGAGGAAAATGAAGAGAAGAGCTGATTTATGGAACGGAGAAAGCAAGCCAGCCTCCTGTAGCCTGCATTTTAACAGCACGGCCATGGTACATGTCCTACATCCGTGGAGCAGTGCAGGAAAGGGTGTAGCAGAGGGATGTTGCTTGGAAGTGCTGGAGCCTAATTACTACCTCCTGTTATTTGGGACAAGTGTTTTAAATTTGCATTCTGCCCTGAGAGGCATTGCTCCCTCTAATAATTTCAAGTCTTGGTTTGGAGCTGGGAGAAGGAGATTTCCGAATAACGTCAAAGTAAGTCACTGGCCTTAGAGATGGGAGCAGAAATTGTACCAGTGTGGTAGGAGCCTGGTACTGGTTTTGTCATTTCTTTAATGCTGTCTGGTGGCCAGGAGAGAAACCTCTTCCTGCCTGCGCTTGTCTGACCATCACCTGAACACGGAGTAGGGAGGGCTGGGGGAGACTCCTTCATGTCTGATTTTCATACTTATTTGCTGTGGGCCAGATTCTGTGTTCTTCTGCGTTGGTTGTGCTGCTCCGTGTAGTGTGATACAAAACTAGAACAGGTAGACAGTCCCACAGGAGAATTTCTGTTCATATAAAACTAAGAAATGTCTTCAGTGTTTCCTACAGCATCCAAATGCAGTTTGTTGGGGTAGAAGGGATAGGAAGTGGAGGAGCAGGACTGTCAGCACTAGCAAAGCCTGTGAGTTTGATATGATTAACTGCGGACTGGTTTACAAAGGCTGTAGATGTGGGGCTGGCATCCTTGATGCTGCAGTTTTCACAGTGATCAGACCGAAATGAAGGAGCTGAAGCTTGCTCCTGAGGGCGGCAGCCCATTGCATACTATCCCACGCAGAACTGCGACCGCGAACTACGTGGCTGACCGTGGCCCGAGGCTGGGTGTCAGTAGCCCACCCACTGAAATGGGTGATATTTCTCACAGAGAAGGGGAAGGGACATTCTGCCTTTTTCATTGTGAATGATAGGGAAGCAGCACGGCCTGATGCTGCACTGGTTTTAGGCTAGAGAGCTCCCAGGAGCTTTTGCCAGGTCTTGCTGTGATCTGTGCATATCCTCTGCGCAGATCCCACTCTCTGAGTTTCCTAACTGGGCCATTAAATAAACAAACACAGCATAAATCCAGTGTGGGCAGGAAACTTCTCAAGCTGGAAAGCCCAGAGGAATCATTGCATTGCTGGGGGTGGGGGGTTTCTGTGCTGTAATTGCAGGCCAAGGGAGGGAGTTTGAAGTTAATGCAAGGGGGTGGGGAAAAAAAAAAAAAAAAAAGCAGCTGCTGCAAGACTGAAAAGTGAAAGGGAGAAAAAAGCAGAGAAATCCTTGCATTTCTTTATTATGCATTGGACTCCTTAATGCAATTCATCCAGATTCCATAGGGCACAACCCAGGGGGACGTGGTTAGGTGGGAATGTGCACGTGGCACCCTTAGTGTTTGGTTTCTGCAAACGTTGATTTTTTTTTTTTTTTTTTTTTTTTTTTTTTGCGCCGTTAGCATCGTGCCGGGGGGATGCAGGTGGTCGTGGGACGTGGGAGCTCACCGCTCGCCGGCCAAGGACCGAGGCAGCTCTGCTGTGGGTCCCCTCTGGGTTCGGGGGCTTCGGCCACCAGTGCTGATGCTGAAGCCCTCCCCCAGGGCGAGGTGGTTATACACACACGCGCGGGCGGTCCGTAGAGGTCTGCGTAAGCTGTATGGGCAAACCCCATCAGATAGGGAAGGCAGAGCAGTTGCCAAGTGGTTAATCTGCTGATGGGATTGGTGTTTGGCCTTCTCCCATCCCGCTCTGAGGTCTGTGCTGGAGGGTTTGGGGGGGTTTGTCAGCTTTCTTGCCTGTGGTCTGGTTGAGCAACATGCTCAGACGTTAGCTTCTGGCCGGGTAAGTGAGTTTGTGGGCATTACTGTGAGTAGAGGTCTTATTATAAGCTCTGGGGAAAAAAATATGCTACCACCACCCCACCCCACCCCCCCCCCAAAAAAATAGCAGCCATTTGCCCCAAACTATATTCATGACCTGAAGGGAACAAGGACATCTTGGGAGTACAACACAGACATAAAATTCATGTCTGGCGCCAGTGTGGTCTTGCTCACTCTGCTGCTATTAAATACTGCTCACGCATGAAGCTCCCGCGTTCGTGCTGCTATGGGCAGAACAAAGCAAATCACCCTGGAGCAAATCTTACTCAAAACAAATACTCGCAAGAAGTCTTCATTTCTGTAAATCTCGAACTTGTATTTACTCTAATGACATTCTGGGAGGGTTGCTGCTATTTTTCTACAGAGTAGCCCATATTTGTTTTTTCCATTTTACAGTGAGCAGATCCCTGTTCACCTCTGTGAAGGTGTTTATCCACCCAGGAGCTGAGGTCTGGCCACGGTGGCCATGATCTGCAGTAGTGTCACCTGGCAGGGGAAAAGCCCGTCCCGTCCCAGTGTTACGGGAGCCTGATTGCTTGGCTTTTTTACTTGAGGATTCACGTCTTGCCTGAGCTTGTGGGCACAAGTCAAGTCATTTGGATGTGGAGGAAGAGCACTGCTGATTGATGCTGATATATCTAGGACTGGTGCTTGATTCTGAGAATACTGCTGGATATAATTAGGAGAAACACCCAATAATGTTGCTACTAGCAATGAAATATGGGAATGCATGGCTAGTAGGGGGAAAAAAAAAAAAAAATCCCTTTCACTGAGATTTAAGATCTGGTGATCACAATTGCAAATCTTGGGAAATTTGAACCACCTTATCAATCCATGATAATTTTCATAGTTACAAACTTTTTAGGGGAAATTATTTTCCCTGTATCGTTTTGGACAATTGTGTTTAGATGACAGTGGGAAGCTTCTCCAGGCAGCATATTATGTTCATTTAATATCACATGCAAAGCATAGAAACCTGACTTGGAAGCCCCCAAAAAAAACACAGAAGTGTTTCTCCACCTTTTCCTAATCCTCTGAAGGGTGAATTGGAAGCACCTGCTGAGGGAGGAGTGTGCTTACAGATTGTCAGCTAATTTGTGGAGTCCCCTGATGAGCTAACTGCTGTGCAAACTTCAGCCGGTGTGTCAAAATCCTCATGTCTTGAAGAGCAACTTCTCCCACTTGCCTGACTTCTGTCCCTAGAACAAGGAGGTTTGTTCTCCATCAAGTGACGGGGTTGAGGCTTAGACTCTTTTACGGCCGCTTGCAAATACGATGATGG